TATGAAGAAATGGGGATAAAACCCCCCAAAGGTGTAATTCTTTACGGGCCTCCTGGTACTGGTGAGTGCTGTTAGAATCATTCCTTTGTTTTAAATTCATTTTGGAACATTATAACAGGTAGAAATTATTATGCATTGATAAATACCATTTATTTATTATTATTATTCTAGGTAAGACGCTTCTCGCCAAGGCTGTTGCAAACCAAACATCTGCTACTTTCCTTAGAGTTGTTGGCTCTGAACTTATACAAAAATATCTAGGAGACGGCCCCAAGTTGGTTCGCGAATTATTTAGACTGGCCGAAGAACATGCACCTAGCATTGTATTTATTGATGAAATAGATGCAGTTGGTACTAAGAGGTATTTTCCTTATTGTCTTATTTTCTCAGATATGAATCCAATTGTGGAGGAGAGCGAGAAATACAAAGAACAATGCTAGAGATGTTAAATCAATTAGATGGGTTCGACTCTCGTGGTGATGTTAAGGTTATCATGGCGACAAACCGTATTGAAACTCTGGACCCAGCTCTTATTCGGCCAGGAAGGATAGATCGCAAGATAGAATTCCCCTTACCTGATGAAAAGACTAAAAGGCGTATCTTTGGTATTCACACAAGCAAAATGACCCTGGCTGAAAACGTCAACCTAGAAGAATATGTGCAATCCAAAGATGAACTTTCCGGAGCCGACATCAAGGTAATTTTTTCTTCCCTATATCTCTTTCTAGGCTATTTGCACGGAAGCCGGACTCTTGGCGTTAAGAGAACGACGAATGAAGGTCACTGATGAAGATTTTAAAAAGGCCAAAGAGAATGTTCTTTACAGGAAAAGTGAGGGAACACCAGAAGGCCTATACTTATAATAAAATAATGCCTTTTGATGCAAGAAATATATAATTGACCTAATGAGTCCATCTGTCTTGTATACAATGTGTCATTTTATTTTTTATTTAATAATAGTCTGTTTTTAATCATTTCCGTTCCGTGATTGCTCTAACGACTGTAAATTTTCTCAATTGAGCTAGCTGTTTCAACCATTTAAATAGCTAAGACTGGGTAATTATTGTTTTGTGTTCAATCAAGTCGTTAACCTGTCTTAGATCAATGAATTAATATCACTCTTGAATAAGAAATTTTTCACCCCAATGATATGAAAAGCCTAACAAGCAATCTCTTACATTTCCGATAGCCTTCTAACAAAATTTGGTCACCTAAAGCCCCGTGGACACCCTTTGCTAAGAATTTGTAATCTTTTGAAGATGCAATAGCTAGTCGTGATATGCCTCATCGAGTGAGACAATTTAGATATTAACCTGACTCCTAGGCGTATTGTGCAGGTGAGTAGAGACTAGCGAACGACTTACAAGAAAGGATTCAGTGACGCAAATTTATAAAATGAGGGATTTATGCAAAGTTATATATTACTAACTTAATAGACAGTTGGTATGTCTAGAAGCAGAAGGGGCCGTGCAAGGGAGAATTGGTAGTAAGCGAGCTACCTAGGCGACGTTTCGTTAGGCAGCAAAGCAGAGGCGCCGCGGTCAGTGGCAGCATATAATTCCGAGGCCTAGTTTATCTAAGGTAGTTTCAAGCAAAGTCATTTTGATACATCGGAAGAACTGATCCTGCCACACTGCGGGCTTAGCGAAGTGAACACTTAAGAACTTTGTTCAAGATTTGGTGTCCAAGTTCGATTATATTGTCGAGGCAAAACTCAGATTAGATTCGGACACGATAAAAAATGAATAAACCGAGGTTCATTTAATTTAAGATGGCTGTGTAAGGTCAAACGTTTCAGGAGGAAGTAATGGTAACTTGATGGCATGCCTGTACGATACATTGATAAAGGAGTTGGGCTGATTCACTATGAGCACATGAGGCAGGTGGAGTTACCTTACTGAATGGTTGCATGCCTTGGTGATATCTGTCACACGACAGACAAAATCTTAGTACGGATTCATCAGAATAACTGGATAGCTTGATGGGAAGTTCTGCGCTACAATCAACAGTATTACAATAAAGATGAAAGTAGAAAGAATTGGTCATATGCCTTGGTTGAGTTTATGAATGCTAACTGGTTAGGAGATTTAAAGAGAACTCAGATGTGAAAACATAAGTAGGGCTGTTACAGCGTATACGCATAAATTCGAGAACCAAGGCTGTTAAATTATCCGACTTTATATGAGTAGTACTAAGAACGCAGAAGACAGCTGCGTTAAGCAGGCAACCAAGACTGAGGGCTACA